GTTCAGCCATTATGACAGATATGTCGAGACTTTAATTTTCCATTTTCCGATATCGATAATGTAGATCTGTATCACATAGTTCAGTGTTAGATATCTTTCTATAAGATGTGAGGCGGCCATTTATGTATCAATTGTCGCAAACATTGAATTGCACCGAATGGAGTGTCAGACGGCAACAGTAACGGTTGACGATTTAAATCTGTTGCGGACGACCCCTAGACTTCGATAAACGTCGACCAAACGTGGTTTGGATATTCTCAACCTTAGAACGTTGCTGAGTATTTTCAGTTTTGCCATGATCCAAAACCACGATTGGACAACGATTACGGGCAGTGCACAGCTGATTTCAATTGTGTCTTTCCCGTAACCGGACGGCAAGACGACGGTCTAATAATAATTTTGTCGTTAAATTAGGTGTACTCGACTCTGCGAGCATGCGGGAGTCGCCTATCATTTTTATTGCTCTTCAGTCACCCTCTTCGACGCGCACACCTGGCACCCATCGCCAATCTTGTCACGTAACAATCTTGCATTCGTGACCTTCAGGCCAACGGTACGTGAGAATATAGGCGATGAATCCTCGTATGAAACTGACTGTGGGTGCTCAGGTGATGCGCTGCCTTCTTCGCCAGACGAATTGCCTGATGAACTCGGGTGGAGATGTGATAAATGATAAACATGCCCACATGCGAAGCCGACCAGGGCTTCTTTTTCTATCGAGATATCAGTACTGAGATTGGCTACTAGGATCGTTAATGGGGTAGGCCGTACCATGTTCAACAAACTTGTTATGACAACCAGCACAGCGACCGGGCTGTGAGGTTTGCTTTTTCTCAGACGGTTCAACTGTCCCCTCTTCATCATCTCGCTGCTGCTGATTCGCTTGCGGTGTTCCTTCATTAGGCTCGGCTTCATCGTCGTGGATAATATCAAAACGAATACCTCGTCGTTGCCCTTTGCGCAGCGTATCCATTCGAATTGAGACTTCGCCGGCAAGCACTTTGGCGACGCCTTGACTGATACTGGCTTGGATGTCGTGCTCGCGGATCATTCTGGTCAAGCCCTCTCTCAATCCTTGAATCTCCAAACCACTTGGAATTCGTTGCACAAGTTTAATCGGATCAATCGCGGTTCCCGCTTTCAACCAACAGACACCGAATATATTCCGGTTTATCCATCGAGTACGAAAGCAAGTCGTCCCAGAGATCCGGGTCGTCTTGGGATTTGGCGAAAGATATGGCGTGTGAGATATCTCTGAGATCGGATAGAATCAAATGAAGTGCTCGCTTGGTTTGACCGGTTTTGGAGAAGAGATAGATGAGCTCAGGAGTAAAATGACGAGTCTCACAAATGGAGCAAGCCGTCTCGTATGAATACGATGTGTTGGACTGCAGGAATTGCATGAGTAACGGACGGTCATAATCTGCGAATAGCTCTACCACCGTATCTGCGAATGCATCTATCAATAACCTGCCTTCATCCGCGACAAGCTTTTCGGCAGCCCCTGTTCGATGGTGTCCTCGTGCTGGGGCCGCATGGTCAGTGGTCGAAGACAGAGAGTCCCCTTTCCAAAGTGCACGAGCATAAAAATAGAGGAACAGATGCAAATCCGCGGCTTGAAGTTGAGATATGACAGTGGCAGGCTGCACAATTCCATTAACAGCCTCCCGCACAAGAAGCTTGATAGGTTCAGACGTAGCTTCTTCGAGCTCTGCGATCGACGCCGATTCCATCCGTTCTTTTGAAACTCTTATTGAAACGATTCCTGGAATATCATCGGCAACTGCAGCCAGCAAATGATGTTCTCGAATAAGGGCCATGGCGGTTTCGGCGTCTTGAAGTCGAATATAGCAGCGCAGAGCTTCACGATAGCGACCTCCAGCTAAGAACAGCTTTGCAAGGCACTCTGTTAAAAGGCGGTAATCGTCTGTTCCCTCTGGCGCAGTGGAAGTCTTGAGCTGTTCATTAATCGCGGCTATGACACTGTCGATCTCAAAGAGATTTGGCGGCCAGAGATCAAGAAGCTCCTTAAATTTAATGCGGTCTCGAGAAACATAATGGCCGAGAATGACTTCATATATCAGGCCAGGGAGCGGAGGATGAATGTCAATAGGAACGTGTGAGACTATCTCGTCGAACTTGTCATTTTTTGCGAAGATCCATATCCAATGTTCCCACTTCGACGTTGTACCAAGGACTTTACCGCATACATCCCCTGCCGTCTGCCAATCTTTATCGTTAACAAGCTGGTCTAGCCACGATTCGCCAATTCGCAGTTTTTCCGACTCCAGTCTCGAATCTTCAGCACGTTTACCTGTCTCTAACAGGCTCCTATCATCAAACAGCCCAGTGAGTGACATTCGATGTTGTTTGGGAGTGCTCAAAGGGCTCTCAGTTTCTTCAATCCCTGAGGTTACTGCCTCCGGATGCTGCTCAAGAAGTTCCCAGGCTTCTTCAAACTTGTCATGCTCTTTGAGCCAAGATAGCCTGTCTGTCACGTCTCTCCTCGCAGCAACTATGCAGTCATAGGGGCTATGAATAAAAACTTTCGTTCCCTCGCTGGCGAGAATAGCCAACTCCTTATTGTCGTGCTCGCCAAGAAGCAGCCCTGGCGCATTAATAGAGCTTGAAGGCTTCAAGCTCGATCTTCGATCACTACTGCTCGTTGTGCTGCGAATGCTAGTACCTGAGTTGAAAAGGCGAGTCGGATATAACGTGGCGTCCAATATCCCAGTTCCTATCGTTTCAAAGGTGCCTCGACGGGTGGGTGTATTCACGATTTTAGCAGGAGACAGCACGCCGAGGTGGTAATCAGATGCAGAGAGGCTTTCATAACGGCGGACAGTAAGCGTATCGACACTGAGTTCTTCTTTTGTCTCGACATCAATGAGTCTCAACTCGGGCTCCAGCCCATTTTGTCGGTGTCTAATCCCACGAGTCGGACCGGCCTGTTTTCGTTTAGATTTGTTATCATCATCCTTGGACAAGTACGAAAGGACAACAAGCACGTTAGGGGTATAAAGCGAAACTCCGGATATCACGCAGTCCGTGCGTAATCTGCGAGCTCATTAGCACACGAATCGAGAAATGCATTGGAAATAACGAACATTGTGGCAACTTCTGCAGAGCCGATAATTTTTGCTTGGGGTCCCTTGCCGTGTCCAGAAGGAAAAACATTGATAACCCAGATGGTACCGCCCCAGCCAACAACTAGTTTTTCCATTTGCCCATCTTTCGGCAGCGCGACCTGCGGCTCACTGGACGGGCCTTGACCACCGGACTGAAGAGCTTCATCGACCCATTCTGCTCTGGCTTTCCATACCCCTGCCATTTCGTCCCATTGCGGATTGCGAGGTCGATCTACATGACTTATTCGCTTCCATGCAAATTCAGAGTGAGCGTGGTCTAGGTGTAGGTGAGATCGCATGATCTTAATCCCTTCTTCATTGACCCACACAACATACTTTCCGGACAATGACCATTTGATTGCGCTTATATTGCCTTCGCCAGAGTGTAGAATGGTGTCTTTACCATTGTTTCCACCAAAGCCCAAGGCTCCGAGCCAGCCGCTGGGGTTCGCAGTAGCTCCTGTCATCGTGGTCGAATTTGAACTCGTTCCAACACGTCCGCCCACAGTCAAAACCAACTCTCCAGCTCGGCCCCCAGATAAATATGACTTGTCGTTTTTATAGTCCGGAGAGAGAGAGACAGCTTGGACGGGGCGCCCGAAATTCCGAAGGAGCACATCTTTTGGATCCAACAATGATGAAACGCATACATTTCCGTCTATAGAAGATGTGGCAATGTATATCGCATTCGAAGGGATATGAGGTATCATCGTCTGTCGGGGCTGGCTAGGGGATTTGGAAGGGTCTGAGGCAACGCTTGACGTGTCTGCCAGAGATGCGTTCTTTACCTCTAACCTAGAAGCCAGAGGCGGCGGAAACGGCGATATTGACACAGAAGTAACGCTCGCTGAGTGCGCATGATAGACTCGGATGCGTTGGAAGGTCAGAGCATCGAGGACATGCTACAAATCTAGTCAGCCAGAGACCCATGATTCCAGACGAAGTCCACGTACGATATTCCCATTGTGGGTGCCAACGACCTGTAAACTATCAGCCGAAGCCACGAGCAATTCGATGTCCAAGCGGAATCCATACCATTTTATCTCCAGCGACGAGAAAAGTGCTTGTCGCATCGCCGTTCCGGTACAACGTGCCGATGCTCTTCGTCAGAGATGCGTATTTGAGCTGTGGCTCTTCATCCTCATCGTCCGACTCCTCGCTGTCCTCTTCTCCTTCCTCTTCGTATTCCTCTTCATCCTCACTTTTGTGCACACTATGTTGCTCCGGCAGCTCTTCTATTGCAGGTGAGCTTGAGTCCGGGGCTGTCTTTGCATCCCCGGCTTTGGGCAAGCTAGAATCGTCGGCCATTATAGCCGCACTTAACAAGCGAAAGGGGGAAATAACGAAAGAGAAGCTTGCATGGTAGTAAGTCTATCATTTGATGAGCTTTACAAGCCCTCTATTATCAGATGCGTGCCATGACGCGCCCGCTGCTTGCCTGTTGCTGGTTTGTTTGGCGATGTGCTCATTGGGAAGCTGCTGACTTCATATAACTGGGGAAGCACGGATGATAGTAACTCCGAACAGCCGGAGTTCACAAAGATTCTGATGAACTTGACGGGATTCACCTGGAGATGGAACGGAACAATAGCAGTTCACTCTTTATTCTTTGCAATTCTCTCTTCTTTGCGGTGTCTGTCGGTACACCTTTGATCGTCCGGTATCAAGCGCCCCTTTCTGCAGAAGAAGGAATGCCTTCGCTGCCTTTGCAGCCAGCAATGGTCCTCACCCCCCGTTTCCATCCTTAATACCCGTCTCAAGTGATGTTTGCGCCTCGACCCGTATCCAGATTAATAGGGAGATCTGCACGATTCAGGCCCCCAAACCAGCGCATATTCCCGGCCCTTCGTCCACTGATCCCTTTTCCCAGCGCCTTTGCACAACATGTGCCGTACTCCGCGAAGTCGACTCCTGAACCTCCCGCAAGCGAGAAGGTCCCGGTAGACGTGTCGAAGGCAAAGCGCTCGTCTAGGTCTTCGGCGACGAAAACTTCATTACGCCGAGCGGCCCTGGAAGCACAACTTTCCAAAGATGGCAGACGAAAACCTCAACTGCATGAGGACCTGCCCGGGCATAATAAGGTATGCTAGTACTGCTCCTTTTAGCTTACTGGTAGCTTACGATAGGTTTCCGTTTCATCTAGCTTGTAACTGCCTACGCAGTAGCCGAACAATTCGACATTGCTAAAGTCATGGAGATTCTCCTAGCGAAGGGGTATGAACCAGACCCCTTTGAAACTGGACTCTATCCCCAAGTCATCCACGTACAAGTACCGCTCGATTCTATACGAAGGACTACAAGCCTGGCTGCATCGGATCTACCGGCTGACCAGGTGGGAGACGTGTTCATTTTCCCTTCGGGAACGGTGGTGTCCTGGTCCTTGCCGGAAGGGTTTACGTCTTATCTCGCAAGCACAATTCTCTTGCCCGCAGCCGAGAGCCCCCATGTCGACGATATGGAAACGGAACATCTAGAGTACTCGGAAGATGCACAGCGGGACAGCAGTACGATGAAAGGCGATAAAATCATCCTGGGCACAAAACCCAGTACAGATAACCACCGGCGTTCCGACAGGCAGTCAGTCGATACAGTTCTCACAAAAATTGCGTTTTCGTCAGGTTTAGCGCGCAGTACGAAACTGGCTGTTCTGGAAAGCCTGTTGTCCAACTACTTCGACTCAACTCGAACCATCCCCACCCTCCTCTCCAAAGGAACCCGACTACCCTACTCGCGAAGTTTCATACTCCGCAAAACCGGCCAACTGCTTAGCATACGAGCGCAATTAAACCTCTACTCAGAATTGACGGACTCTCTTCCCGACCTCTTCTGGGACAGCAGGCACGAACTGGGCCTCGAGGGGAATTATGACCAGGTCGGAAGGGCTCTCGATGTAGGGATTCGCATCAAGACCCTCAACGAGAAGATGGACTATGCCCAGGAGATTGCTAGCGTCCTCCGGGAAAGATTGAGCGAAACACATGGCTTACGACTCGAATGGACTATTATCTTGCTTATCGCAGTCGAAGTGGGCTTTGAGGTCCTACGGTTATGGAAAGAAAAGAAACAGGAGGAAGCAGAGCATAAAAATGCTGTTAATTCGGAATCTACCATTCCCTAGACCCTGAATATTGCGAGAAACACCCCTGTCACCATTCGACCCTTGTACAGTATTTTAGCTGACATACCCCTTGCGCGTTTTGCACAGATATATGGACCTAATCCCAAGGTAGTCATAAGCTCGTAGCTGTTTATATAATCGAGATTCATTAAATCCATCAATCATTCAGATATAAATTTGCTACCCTCGGTGAACTGCATTCTGTTCGAAATAAAAAAGAGAAAATAGCACCATGTGGAAAATATAAAACCTAATCAAAACACTACATCACAATATTAATTGATCAATCCCGGTTACATGTTAAAACATTTGCGAGAAATCGAAGCAATCACGCGCACACAACACGCGGTGGATGTGCCACCGAGCCGCTAGCATCTGGAGTTGACCTCATGACGAAACAGCCTGCAGCATAGTACCGGTCATTACCAAGATTTTCTTCATCGATAGCTCGACTGTCCTGGTGTCCACTGCGAGGTGTATATGGTGGAGGCGGAGGCATGGCTCCCAACTCTACGTCGAAGATCGACGGATGGGGCTGGACAACTGACTCGAAAGATCGATCGGGTGTGTGTAAATCCTGGTTATACTGCTGGCTGGGAAATTGAAAGATCGACCGTCGATTTAAGTCGTCGATACGTTGTTTAGAGAACGGAGCTCCGATTTGAGTTGCGAAGGTATGGATCCAAGGAACTGAAATAGCAATCATTGTGCCGGTGGTATGGAGGCAGGAACAGAGCCAGAATACCAACAGTTGTACTAGTTAGTTTAAAGGAGTTAGCTTAGGACGAAACTCTTACTTAAAGATCCATATAAGGGGTTGGGATGCCTACCACCCGGCTTTTCATCCATTCCCGCATTAGCCAACGCTCCAAGTCGGGAGAAAGATGCCAAAATGACACTGTATCTTTTATTAGATAGGGCAACAACGAAGCGTTATTATCCAACTTACAAGCCAATCACCACAAACCCGATTTGAAACAAGGTCCGAAGCCCCTTCAGATGAAGCGATTTCAGCCATAGAATCGGCAAGCCGGCAGTAGCCATGTCAAGAACAAAGCTATAAGCAACAATGGCCACCCAAAGTTGCGTAGGGCGCAAATATGAGCCAGAGACCACAAAGTCGCATTTTGTGGTTTGATCGGCGCATTCGAAAAATATAAGGAAAAGAAGAGCGAATTCAGCAATGGTGAAGACGCCGTAAATTCTGACCGGGCGGTTCAGCTGTGCTCCATTTAGGGAAAAGAACCATGCCACCGCCAAGCTTCTTGCACAGATAACCGATGATTGAGAGAGGAAAAAAGAGTACACGTAGCCGTCGATAAGCTAGAATCGAACGCAATAGATGATCAGTAAGTCCGTATCGTCTTGCAAAAAAGAGGAGACTGACCTTATTTGTTGAATAAGGGCCACTGCTAGCCTGGTAATAGCTCGCTATTTTAGAATCAGTAAGCACTGTCCGAAAATACTCATGCAAACAAGGAATCAAAACGTCATTACTTACACTCAGTGAGGGAGGCGATCGAGGCAAGCCCGACGACCTATTTTGCCTATCGTCAGTTACTTTCGAAATAGCGAGAGAAGGAAGGAAGCATACAGCAGTCAGCCCAATACCCCAGTCATTGATATCAGGTGTCGACTTGAAATAGATTCTGTTGAATAGGCGGATGCCGAAGAGGAGACCGATCAGAATGGCACATGTCAGTGATACCACAAAAAGGGCCTTGGCCTCGCGAGGAAATTGTGAGATTTCATCCATTCTGGAACGAGATTGTCAGGTAGCAAGCGAGTAACGTCTTGTCACACAGGTAAAGGATGCAGAGATGTAAAGAGTAGATAAGAAAAAAATAGAGAGAGAGGAAGCAGAAAAAAAAGGGAATGGGAAAAGAGAAAGTACTCGCATGACGCCGACTCTCAAGTGCAATATGCCATGAACAGAACTATGGTTCATGATTCCTCAGGCAGCTATTTTCATACTCCCATGGATGAATGAAAATAACAAACCCATGGTTGAAGAAATAGGACGCGGCAGCCACCGGGAGGGAAAACCTTTGTCCTCTCCTTTGGAGGGGTGTGGTATCAGGGTAAAATTGCGGCGCAGACACGGTATGGATAGACAACTGAAGTAGGCGACCAGGCCTAGTTTGTTCCTGGGCGGATGGCCGGTAGCAGCCTGGGAGGCCTCCACCTAAATAAAAGAGTTGATCCATGGCGCGATATCCATGGGTGAGCCATGTCTGTGCCAGAGCTTCTCCAGAGCCGTTGGAAGTTGGACGTTGAGCTTGAGCCTGAGTGGTTGCTATAGTGCAGAACGGGATGGCTTGGCATGAATCTGACCGCGAAGAAACTATCTGCAAATAATATCGACAATATCAAAAACCGCCAACGAGAAGCAACTGAGGCATTTCAGTTTTCATAAAACGAAGGATCATAATGTTGTACAGATACTCTCAACATAAAAAGCAGGATATAGCGAGCAACAAAGCATAGACAAAATTCCGTTTCCAGTCGTGAAAAGCCTACTCCACAAATACGCCGAGCTCAACACACATACCAGGGTAAATTAGAGGGGAAGCTGGGTGGGAAATACAATTAGAACGCCTATGTTTCATTTTTCATGGTGAATCGGTCGAAAAATGCCTCGGTCTCGGGGGAAAAGGACACAGGAAATAGTTGAGGGTTGAGCAGGTCTGTGCCGTCTGATTCTCCGTGGCTCAGAAAATATTCGTCTTCATAGTGCGAAGAGCCCGGCTCGGAAATGTCAGTGGTCGATGGGTCAAGAGCAGGTAACGCGTCCTGGTTGGCTGCGGCTTCAGTTGCATGGCTAATAAAGACATCGTCCAGACTCGGGTTCTCAGGGTTGTTTATAACATCCGACTCCGCTCCTACTGACCACAGGATCTTGGGCGGTGACCTTGGTTCTGGCTCCGTTTTGATGCGCAGTGGCGACTGAGGGGCAAGCAATGGGATGTCAGGGATCTCTTCAGGAATGTCATCCAAAGGCCTTTTACTCGGCGAGAGGTATAACGGGTTAAGCTCTGGGTCCAAAGCGAGAGAGCGAAAACTGCGAGTCGGTGACGGCATATTCCCCGTACTAAAAGTGGGAGATGCCGGTGGTGTAAATGAGAATACGTCCGGCGCCAGGCCAAACGCATTGTCAGACAAAAATTCCAAGTCCTTTGCCGGGCTGAGCGCCCTAATACTTGCAGAGTCGGTGTATTCACTTGCAGAGGAGACAAAAGAAGCACAGGAAGATTCCGAAAGTGTTCGCGCATGGCCCCTTTTGGCCCGCTCGCGGGTCTTGATTATTTTTTCCCGTCTTTCCTCTGCGTCCGGTCTCTTCTTCGGCCTCCCTCGTACTTACAGGTTTTCGAACTGCCCCTGCAAACGCGCCACGCACATTCCACGCTGTTTATGTCGCGTCAAAGCGTCATGCCGTGCGAAACTATTCCCCACACTCGCAGGGATAAGGCTTGACCCCGGTGTGGATCTTTGAATGGCGTTTGAGGTCATGACCACGGACAAAACACTTGTTGCAATGGTTGCACTTGAACTGCCTATCTCCAAGGTGCGTTTGAACGTGTGATTTGATATTTTCCTTTCTCCCGAACCGTTTGTTGCAGCCTTCGTATTTGCATATCCATTTGTTATCCGTGAGATCAGGCCCGTCGATGTACGCCGCAATATCATCCAAGGTAATGCCTGTTTCTTCAATCGAGGCGTCTATACTGGCGTCAAGGTTGAGGTCCGCAATTGAGAGAGCACGAGGCGAAAGTAGAGTCTTCGAAGGGGAGGAGGAGCGGCTCGAGATTGCGCCACGTTGCGAAGCAGGACGGAGGGGAGTTGCTGGTGCTATCGGTAATTTGGCTGGTTTATTAAGTATGCTGGTGGTGCTGCTAACGTCTCGCTCGTTGAGAACACCAGACAACGATAAAAAAGATGGCATGCTTGGTGAAATTGGTGAAGACATCGATGTCGTCTCAAAGTTCTCTTGCGGGTGAAAAGTGAACTCTGAGAAGACATCATCGCTCATTTTCGGCATTTGCAGGTCAAATGCTTCCAATGGCTGATGGGAATTGGTGTTGGGAAGAGGAGCAAGGGTTTCTCGCGGCAGCAAGCTACCTGATACCCCTTGCGAAGATCTTGCCCGTTCCATGACCGCGAAGTTACGAGTGATGGCGGCATGCTGTTTGACCGGCGAGGACTGAGCCGTCTTACAGGCGCGTGGTATATGTATTGGTTTCCAACTTGGGGTAGTCGCTGGCGTCAATGGAAGGGAGTCTTTTCAGGTTAGTTTGAAATTCGTACGGATTTTATCAACTCACACTTACCCGGGTCGATCTGGGTTACGGGCGTGTTTGGACGGTCCAGCAATGTTTCCTCCGCAAGATTTCGTGGAAATGCTTGCCATTGCAAAGGTTCAAGACTTTCGTATCTATCGGATGGAAATTTAAGGCGGTTCCTTGCGATCCCCTGATCAAGACTCAACCCTCTGCGATGTCGAGCCGTTGGGGGATTTGGTTTCGCGCCCACGGTAGCCTGGATTGACCCAGAGTGTCTGTGGCCATGAAACGCGCTTTCAGCACGGTCAATGTTAGTATTAAAGGCGGCCAACATTGTCGTGGTCGGGAGACGGCAGGGTTATATATAGTCGGGGAATTAATTAGAAGCTGGCACCAAATTGCGGAGGCACAGTAGTGCAAGCAGATTCTACTCAGAAACGCATCACCACAGTAGGGGAAGATCACGTCTGAAAAGAAAGCGGTGTGTTGTAAATGGTTGAATTGTACGGAGCCTTCGAAGATGGGACGAAAATATCAAACGAATCGTGCATAAACGAGCGCGAGAACCGGAACTAAAGCAATACCGCACGGGAATATAGGGGTAACAACCAAAATAGAACCATCGGCCGTCAATAATAAATGCAGACGGACAACAAAGAGATGACTGGTATATAACCCGCAGTGATGATGTATATATTCGAGGATCAATGTTTTCTGCACCGCAAACAGGAACCCAAAGTGGATGCGGCCCCAGCTTCCTTCCAGAAAGGAGGAACAGCCCCGAGTAAATAAAGCCCGTCGGCACGGCAACCACCAAATCCAGACTAGCGTATTTCAGCCTTATCTCAGCTGAATCAGCTTATCATGTGATCCTGTTTCACGTGATCCACAACCCGCTTAGCGCACATCGAGAACATTTTTCCCGAAATGTTGAAATCTCGATCTTGAAAGACTAGCATCAAGAAGGTTGAGGAAGACAGCTTGTCGAGGTGAGTCGATTCGATCATTTCTATCCCTTGAGATATGACGGCTCTTCATTTTAAATGTGTCTTTTTGGAATTTAATGTCAATTCCATCGGACCCTGAACGAAGAAAGGCCACCCTCCCATCAGCAACACAGACCAACTAACACCTTCATCTCCTTCAGGCCTTCCGTCAAAATGCAGATTTTCGTCAAGACCCTCACGGGTAAGACCATCACCCTAGAGGTGGAGTCTTCCGACACAATCGACAACGTCAAGACCAAGATTCAAGGTACATACATCCCGCCCAGCATCCCCTCCATTCCAGGTACTCCAAGTCCCCGTAGCTAACACCCGCCATCCCAGACAAGGAGGGTATCCCCCCCGACCAGCAACGTCTCATCTTCGCCGGCAAGCAGCTCGAAGACGGCCGCACCCTTTCGGATTATAACATCCAAAAGGAGTCCACCCTCCACCTCGTCCTCCGTCTGCGCGGTGGTGCCAAGAAGAGAAAGAAGAAGGTCTACACCACCCCCAAGAAGATCAAGCACAAGCGCAAGAAGACCAAGCTGGCTGTGCTCAAGTACTACAAAGTCGATGCCGATGGCAAGATTGAGCGCTTGAGACGCGAGTGTCCTGCTCCTGAGGTATGGAGATTGCCCCTCGCCCTGTTTTTTTCTTGTCTTTTCCAGACTCGTTGTCGCGACTTTGGGCTAACCAGGTGGTCTTTTGGGAATATAGTGCGGTGCTGGTGTTTTCATGGCTGCCATGCACAACCGTCAATACTGTGGCAAGTGCCATCTCACCTACGTCTTTGATGAGAAATAGATGCGCTCCGTAGCTTGATGGAAATGGCTGCTGTACCGGCTGCATTCATACTTTTGAGCTAGTCTACGATAGCGATTTATGTACGTATGTAGCTATCCCAAGTTAAAATACCATCGAATCTCTCGGTCATACTTTCTTGGAGCATCACCTCTGTTTTGGATCTATATTGCGTTGGTTTCTTATAACACATGATCTATTAAAAGTACATCGCGGCTCCAAAATGTAAGTAAAATAGCAAAACAGTAGGGGCCAAATACACTGTTCCAGCGCCTCCAGGACGAAACCCTCCGGTATGTTCAGGGTATCAGGTAGGACATGAGCCAAAACAAATACAAAAACCGGAACCAGCCGATATAAACCCAAGGGATATCCTCTCCTTCAATTGTTCGACATCCCAGCCTTCAGATTCTCATACTTACTCTCCGGATAACTCAACACATTCATAGACTTGTCAAACTTCTTCCCCATCTTAACCGCATCCTCGTAGAACGTGGCCATCAAGCTCCCACCAGCCTTGGTAGCCTTGTTCGCCCCGCGGTCACCACTGGCTTCCCACCACATCGCTCCGCCCAGCCCCTTTTTAACAATGTACTTGGTCTTCTCCTCGACCATCGGCACAGTGTCATACGAAACCATAATTTTCCTACCGGCATCATAGCTCCATGATGCGCCAGGTCCCCCGGCG